ATTAGAGACATGGCCATTGCTAATAATATAGCTATTTATATCTTTATAAAATATGCGTACCCAATTTCTTATATTTTCTCCAAAGCCAAATTTATGTAATGCTTTATCAAGAAAAGCCCATTCCAACGAATCAAATGCTTTTTCAAAGACGACTAACAATAATAACCCAGGGATATTATATTGTTTAGCATAATGCATTATATCATACAGGAGACGAGTATTTTCACCTATATATCTATTGTTTACATACCCTACTTGGGATTCACTGATAATTTGGAGGAGAACCTTCTTTAATCGTCTTGAAATGCACGAACACGACGTCGCAATTTTATAATCAATATTCAACAGAGAAATCGGTCTCCAATTCTTTAGAAATCTCTCATCTCTGTTCGGCTTCGGAAGTAGTGTGATAATCCCTTGCCTCTGGGTGACTGACATTTTATCTGCCATGTAGGCGTGTTAAATAGAGCGAACAACAAAATAGTTTATGTCTGGCCAAAAGAATTTGTAAAAATCGACTGTGAAACCATCGCTTCCCAGCGATATTCCGTTTCCCATATTACTCAATGCTATCGAACATTCGTCTTTAGTAATGCTTCCCTCACATAGTCGTGACTCATCATCAGAAAGTGATTTAGTATCCAACTTAAAACATTGTTCTCTTAGTTCACAATTTTCATCATTGTTAATGTTTTGTTTAGTACTATTCTGTAAAATTGTTCTTGTTCGTTTAGTATTATTTTTTGGTCTGTAATAGTTATTTCCTCGTCTATTGTATTTTTAATAAGGGTGGTCATTACTTTATTCACATAATTTCTCTATTCTAGGCTCAGAAAATATTTTTTTCTCCGTATTCCACCCACCGAGCACGTGATCGGATTATTATTGCATCTAAATGTTCCCTTCTCATAACCTCCCACTCTACCCGTTTTTTCATCTAATTGGACAATTAATTGAATGTTAGACTCGATGCTTATTAGCTCTTCTAATCTCTCAATTTCCGATATTATATTTTTTTTGTCTTGTCGATTTTTTTTTCCTACGACCTGAATATTTAATTGACACCCCCCTAATACTAAACTTTAATGTTTCAAAAAATAATTGATCGTCTATATTAAATTTGACACTCTGTATTCTGGTCTTGCTCTGCATAAATGTTAAATACAGGTTTTAACCAGTCTTACATACTCTGGATCTTTAAGTAAGGAACTATTAAACTTCCAGAAACCGCGCCCTCTTTGTACCAGGGTAAAATTGCAGTAGATTTTAACCAGTGAATGATCAGTCCAGTCTGTAGCCAGGTTCAACGTTGGAATTGTTGATTATAGTCTGAATGTCAGGGGATACTAAAAAATAATTTAAACGACTCTGTTTCGTGGTTCTATTTGTTCTCCAAGTACATCGTTTTTTTGGTAGGGTGCTGTACCCGCCAAATATCCGCTAATTGGTAATTCTGGATAATATTTTTCACCTCTTTATCTGCCTTTGGATTATTTTTACGTTTATAAAAATTTATGTCAAGTTCGGTGTTTTGAACTAAATTCCAGTCGCAAACCCGGCAATTATACTCTGATTCCCGATGATATTTATTTCATTTTGTAACTCTTTATAAAACTGGGGGGTTGTCCTCATTTGGGCCATAAATTAAAACGAGTGTAAAACGAAAATCACCAACTGACAAATCTATCAGGACATAATTCCCCATATCATCAGCTTTTTACGCATGGCTTTCGAATTCGAAATTACCGGTAAATAAAATAGTGACTCCTCTGCTATTGCTGCGACCGGAGCTAAAAAAACATTTATTACCCCATTCTGTCCGCCTGAGATCTTCCACTTCAGTAGTTGAATGGGTATATTGAAGACAGTAAATAGATGCTTGCTGTTCTCGGAGCCATGCAAATACGTCTGTCCTTTTTTTTGTACTCGCCTAAGCCTCTGACGTTCAGTGACACCATCTGTAAGTTAGCCATAATTATGTTATTGGATCACTACAGGACTCAAAAAACAAAACACAAAAGGGGAGAAAAAATACAAGTTAACAAAGAAACAAAGAAAAAACTGAAAAAAAACATTTAGAAATAAACAGATAACATAACTTATGCACTTGCATATTTTGTTGCCAGCTCATCAGAGACGAGACAAAGAGCAACCCGACTCAAAATCACTAACATGTTCGCTGTCCACGTAACCCTGTAGTGTATCAATCTAACTTTGCTAACCAGTAAATGTGTGAAAACCTGGCAGACATGATTCATCATGGTAGCCAATCACATCTAAATCTATCTTAGCATCTAAATCACCATTTAGTAGCATCAAACATTTCCAATCTCACCTGTACGAATACCGGTTATCAAATGTCGTGGTTTTATCTAATTTTGTATTACCAAACAGTGACCGACCTGGCACTGTAATTACGAATTCACTGTGTCATACCAAGATTGCCACACCTGTTGGTTTAGCTATTGACAGTTTTTGTACTCAGATTAACATTACAAAGGATATTAATTACTTTCGTGACAGCCAATTTTCTTTCAAATTTCTATGTCTGTGGGGCAAAAAAAATAAATGAAAAACTAAAAGCACTTGCTAGGAAAGAATTATTTCTACTGAATCTCACTTTCACCGTTTTTTTTTCAAAGAAAACAAATTTCTCATGCTAACATTCCATAATATTTTGTAACCTTTTCACAATGGTCATCCTTTAAATAATTGTTTGTTAATGTACAGTTTTCCGTTTCTAAACACCACAGTTTTACCACTTTCCCACGCTTGTTTCATAACGTAATTTAGCCTTTTCTTTTCTAACACACCAGCTCGTGGCAAATCAGTAATAATATAAGTTGCAGAGTCTTGAAGTATCTGTTTCTGTGTTTTCATAATGTTTATCTTTGTCGGTCGTTTGTGAAGCTTCACTATAATGTGCCTGGGTTTTTGCGACCGAATTTTGCCCGTACGATGTGCATTTTCAACTTCATCCACCGCAATACCAAACTTGTCTCCTAGAAATCAAGATTTTTATGGTTTAAGAGACACATTGGTATAATTTTAGCAACTTTGAGAGTAATTCTAACAGCGTAATTTTACTGATTTTATGACTGTCACAGTGCGTCAACAAAATTAAAAAAAAAACTAATTTAATTTGAGAGAATTGAAAACGGCGAAGACCATATATGGTGAATCACTAAATAAAACGTCAATATTTAAATATGCCGATCAGTTAACTAAAACAATTATTGCTAAGTCGTCAAATGAGCCATATTGTGGCATCTTTGGAGATGACGTCGCAATTTCGAATTTCGACCGTTCAGACCGCCTGAATGGTACATTGGATATCGAGTTGTGATATCAAAAATATTCTATGGGTTATATCACATAACAAGCATGGTGCATGGAATAAATCAAATGACAGCATCCACGAGACATCGAAAGGACCGGAACGGCCGGAAAACTGGTTAGTAATAGTAAATGCACTTGTACAATCACTCGAGGGCGCGACTTCTTGGGGGTGTTAGTAACTTCTCTGTTTATTGAACTATGGCAGAATTCTTCTTTTCATGAGATTACTGCATTGCCACCTGTATTCGTTCATTATCTGTGTTAGTGTGTTAGCAAATGATTGAAATGTACTGAGTTGTCTTGGTTTCAATCATGTTTTCTGTGCGAAATATGCTTTGTTTCAATGCTCGGAAATAACTTACAACAATTATTTCATGAAAATAAACTAAAACAAACAAACAGTCTTTCATATATTTGTAATCGTTATGATAGTGTAATTATGAAGCTACAACGGAATAGATTCATGGTGCGACAATGTTGAAGTATTCATGGTGAATTTTACCGTTTTCATCCAAATTCGTATGTTAATTATTTGGTAAACAAAGAGGAAATGGTGGTAATTGTTATCATAAATAATGGCTTAGCTCGATTGGTAAAAAAAATGCGGCGACAGCTGACGGTTGCATACATTACCAGTCAGCAACGCCGTGCACTGAATGTGCCAGCCGTGTGACGTCACCTACCACTCAGTGCGCATGTACATCACGACACGCCTATGAACAATCAACTTCTCGGAATCATAGCATCTTCCCGTCCACAAGGATTTCCGCTTTATTCACAATCACTGAGAGGAGTTTAAGAAACCAGCGTATATACAGACAGACAGTCAGTCGGCAGATTAGTGCAGAGAAAGACGCGCTCCACACTAAGCGGACAGTTTCAAGGACCCCGACGAATATTACAAAACACAATGCTGCGTATAGCAGATATATTCTGTGTCGTCTTTTTATTCCACTATGGATACTCCGTCCCTGGTAAGTGAACACTTATTTTATGTTGTCAAATCATACTACATTGATATAAAAATAGTACATACAAAATTTGTGGGATATTTTGATTTATAATATAGTAATTTTAATATCGCGTACCATCTCCCGGGGGAGATGAAACAAATAATAAATAATAATTCGTCGCGTG